CTCGGTAAGTACCAATCTGCTTCTCAGGCTGCTGGTGGGCTAATACTTGTCTGTCCCCTTAACTCCTTGATGCAAATTAGTTAGAAGCCAACCCACCAAGTAACCACTGGAAGAGTGTGTCATACACCATTTCACGGAGAAACAGGGGGACTACATGGGCTGCATTTTTTAAGCCCCTTCTCTGCAATGTTTCTAGGGGATCAAGTCCCAGAAGTGCTTACATGCCTATATAAAACCACTGCTTTTTTCCTATGGTCTACAGAGACATGTGTATGCCAGTCCCCTCTGCTCCCAGAGCTGGGAAGTTTACGATGCTATCCCTTGAGCGGAAGCTTTAAAAGTTAGGGCACTCAATGTGTGGAAAAACTTCTTTCAGGACGAATCAATAGACATCGAGCTATCACTCATTCCCCTAGGGCAAGCCAGAGGAGAAGGATCAGGAAATGCTGATGTGCTTCTTGGCCTGGCTTCTTTTTTTTTTTTTTGAGACAGAGTCTCACTCTGTTGCCCAGGCTAGAGTGCTGTGGCGTCATCCTAGCTCACAGCAACCTCAAACTCCTGGGCTCAAGCGATCCTTCTGCCTCAGCCTCCCGAGTAGCTGGGGCTACAGGCATGCGCCACCATGCCCGGCTAATTTTTTCTACACATTTTTCAGTTCTCCAGCTAATTTCCTTTCTATTTTTAGTAGAGATGGGGTCTTGCTCTTGCTCAGGCTGGTCTCGAACTCCTGAGTTCAAACAATCCACCTGCCTCGGCCTCCCAGGGTGCTAGGATTACAGGCGTGAGCCACTGCGCCCAGCCTTGGCCTGGCTTCTGACTAATACTGTTTGCCCCTGAACTCCCCAATGCAAGTCAGTTAGAAGCCGGGCTGCCTGGAAGATAAGGATAAGGAAATGTTGATGTGCTTCCTGGTCTGGTTTCAAATTAATACTTGTCTGATCCCTTAACTCCCAGTGCAAGTCAGTTAGAAGCCAGGCTGCCAAGTGTCCACTGGAAGAGTCTGTCTCTTCCTGAGAGAGGCAGGGAACTATATTTTTAAGTCCCTTCTCTGTACTGCTTCTGGGGGATAAGGGCCCAGAAGTGCTTGTGTGCCTATATAAAACTGCCACTTTTTTCCTGTGGTCTAATCTTCTCCACTCCCAGAGCTGATGAATTAGGAGCCAAATTATGAGGAAACTTAGAATGAGGGTAGTATATGTAAAGTCCAAATCTTCCTCTCCACAGGGAGAAGTTGGGCATTGGGGATTCCTTTCCAGATTTTATGGTGCAGTGCTTGGGGTGGAGTCTGTCCCTGAGTGTGCCTCAGCTTTTCCTACCCATCCAATGAGGATGTTTTCTCAGTTGCCTGGTAGAGAGTTTCTCAATTTATCTTTTTCCCAGAGAGAAGTGATCCATCAACAGATGTTTATTTGGTGTGTCCAAGGGTGGAGGGAGAGTGAAGAGCATCCTATGTCTGCCATGTGGCTGATATCACATCTTGACTGATTTTTATATGTTAAGCCAACCTTGGATTTCTAGGATATATACCACTTTATTATGGTATATTATAATCCTTTTACTGTGTTGCTAGATTTGGTTTGCTAGTATTTTGTTGAAGGTTTTGGTGTTTATATTCATAAGGGGTATTGGTCAATAGTTTGCTTTTCGTGTGATATCTTTGGTTTTTGTACCAGGTTGATAGTGACTTCATAAAATAAGTTGCAAAGTGTTCCCTCCTCTTCTATTTTTTGGAAGAATCTGTGAAGGACTGGTATTAATTCTTCTTTGAAAATTTGGTAAATTTTCTAATTAAGGCATCTGGGTCCTGGGCTTTACTTTGTGGGAAATTTTAAATTATTTAACTTGATCTCATTACTTGTGACACATCTTTTAAGATAGATATAATCGGAGACACTAAATTGTATACTTTCAAAGTATGAATTTTATGGTATGAAAATTATATCTTAATAATGATGTCATAAAAAAGAACACATGAACAAAGATCCATATTCACTGTGGTGAACTGAACGTGTTTCCTCATCTCTGTTTCCCCTCAAATCCTCTAAAACAACAGTTAAGAAAGAGAAATGCATAAATCACAGAGACAGGAGAGGAGAAGACAGTAATCAAATGAAGTCAACAAACATTGAAAATTTAAAAATGAAGATTGTGGAAACTTATTTAATAGACTTGGAAACATCAATAGCCAAGAGCCTTTGGCAGTGAGAACAAAAGGAAGCAAGAATCTGAGAAAGGTACACAAATTGGAGGTACTACCAGGCACCTCTGTGAGACTGAGGCTAAAAACAAGATTAAAGTCTCCCCAACATCCCTTCTGCTATCTCATGTCACTAGTTAATCAGTTTTTTCATGCCCTGTCAGAAGACTGAGGGCTGTTCTCTGGAGTAGTTGATCACTGGGGATCTGTCCTCAAGGATACATTAATGGCTAAGGGCTGAGGTGCCAAAATGAAAACAGGCATTGAGAGAAAGTTTACCTACTGAACTGGAAGACTCACAGACTCTTTTTGCTCTTTGGTTGCAAAAATATTAGTATGCAACTCCATCTCCAGGAAATGCAGAGGATTCCTCTCTGGGAAAATGAATAAGTCTAAAAGAACAGGTCCACAGATACAGGAATTAAGAAGGAGATGCTCTGACCAAAAGGTCAGATGCTCTTTGGTCATTTATAAGGAAGCCTCCCAGGACAAGCCATACCCATATATAGAGTTTCTAATCAGCACCAAAGGACTTCACTTTTAGATATGGACTAACATCCAAGAATCTTTACATATAGGAGAAAAGTCTCCAACACAAAAGACAGAGACTGAAACAAATAAAAGCAGTAGGGCAAGTCTCTGAAAAAAGGTGACCTGAAATCTGACAGATTTGACCATTAAGAAAGTTGCAAGAAGAAGTTTATTAAAAAGATGATGGCAAGAGTGGGAAATCTTAGCCAGATCTCAAAGCCAAAACAAAACAAAGAACAAGCAAGTAAGAAAAGAGGCAATTAATTTCTGGAAAAACAAAAAGTTCTACAGGAAAGGAAATATAATTGTAGTATAGCTCTTGGCTCACCATAGTATTTACCTAGCTGTAATAATGAAAAGCTGATTACCAATTTAAAGAAAAATGCATGAAAATTACATTGGAAGAATGGGAGGAAGGACACTGTGTAAGAGAGGACTGATTCAGGAGAATCATCTTCATTTTCCTTAGAAAGATGAAAATAGAGAATAACAATTTATAGCTAAAAAATAGCAGTAGAAGCTTTCTGAAAAACAGCAAGAGTTGAAAGTGGCTGCGTTTAGAAAGCAGAGATTGGACATGAGTCAGGCTGAGCCAGGAAACTACTGTTTTATTTTATTTTTAAATTAAAAAAATTCTTTTAGAGATGGGGTCTGTGTTATTCAGGCCAGACTCAAACTCCTGGGCTCAAGAGATCTTCCTGTCTCAGCTTTCCCAGTAGCTGAGACTATAGGTGTTTTACATTAGGAGCTTTGTAGCATGCATTTTGGCTTTTAAAATTATGCACACATATTGCTGTGATAAAAAATAAACTTTTAATTAAAAAGTAAGAGAATGATGCCAGCCTGACTGAGAATGGGTTAGTATAACACACACAGAGAGGATGAAAATGATCTAGAATAGCCAAGTCTGGGCTTTCAGGCTCTACACCCCGGCTCAAACGTTGCTTGATCTGGATATGTCCTCTGGGCTGTGGATGACTTTTGGCTCACTTCAAGGGCTGTCGAGATTCCTCCCTCTGAAATGACAGACTGGCCTCACTATAATGAGTTAATAATACTGACCTACAGAGACCCATGTCTATGGAAAGGGAGACAGGATCAGATAGTGGAAAATGACAGTTGATTATCTATTAATTGACATGATATGATTAATAAAGATCACACAAATGAAAAACAGTGGAATGTATATGATATGGTTTGGATGTTCGGCCCCTCCAAATCTCATGTTGAAATTTGATCCCCAGTGTTGGAGGTGGGGCCTGGTAGGAGGTGTTTTGTTCATGGGCGCAGATCTCTCATAAATGGCTTGTGCCCTCCCACGATAATGAATGAGTTCTTGCTGTATTAGTTCACACTAGAGCTGGTTGTTTTTAAAGGGCCTGGCACCTCCTTCTCTCTTTCTCTGCTCCTTGTGACACGCCTGCTCTCCCTTCGCCTTCCATCTTGATTGGAAGCTCCCCAAAACCCTCACCACAAGCAGATGCTGGTGTGATACTTCTTGTACAATCTGCAGAACAATGAGTTAAATAAATCTCCTTTCTTTATAAATTACCCAGCCTCACACATCCCTTTATAGCAGCACAAAATGGACTAACACAGTATTACTATGAAATGCAAGTGATGTGACTCTGAATAAAGGCACAGCACAGACCTAAAGTTTACAATAGCCCCTTTATCCAGGGAAGAACTTGTAGCACGTTCTAATGCAAAGACCCAAACCCCAGGAGTCTATCAGCAGCTGATGCCATGCTCAGCTTGGGCAACACTCTCCCGTCTGGATCCCAGTCCTATTTTTTGCCCTTCAGTGCTTCAGATCCAGAGTCTGGCAGCCAGTGGGCAGTGCATATGTTTCCTCTCTACAGATATCTTCTAGAAACACATTTAAATGAAGAAAAACTGTCATCATCATCATTATTACAGTTATCAAAACAGTGAAGCCTGGTTTGCAGGGGCAAAATATAAGGGGAATTGCTATGTTTCTAAGAGTCCTGGTTTGCTGACAACGAGTGTGGTCCAAATAGGGGCACATGGTTACGGGGCTGCTATCGATCAGGGAAAACTTGTCAGTATTACTGGGGTCTGCTTATGTGGGGACGCTGCTGGCTTTCAGCTTCTGGAGGCTATACACTCAGCTATAAAGTAGGGCTGGTGGATCTGACACCCTTGGCAGTGCTGGCCACTTGTAGTCATCCTCCTCACAGAAAAAAGCCCCTGGGCAGTTTTAGCTGCACGCTTCCTTTCCTGGATGAAAGGCCAGTGCTCTGCTGCCTACCTTGAGTTCATCTTTGCTCTGGAAGTTGTCCAGGAGGTGCTGGAAATGGGTGTCACACATCTGGCGGAGCAGTGAGAGAAGGCAGGATACATACTCGCCCTGGGGATCAATCCAAAAAACACTTAGCATAGCCAATCACAAGGGCTGTCTTCCCCCAATCCACAGAGGGCAAGGAGAGAAGGGAGGGTCTGAGATGGCCCCAGTGATTATCATGGAAGAAAGGTGATAATTCTGGCCCTTAAACTGAGCTTTCTTTTCTGCTAAGGGAGGCCTGGGGGACTTGAGAGTTTTAATAAGGCCTCTGTAGTATGAGGCTATTGAAAAAAACTTAGTTTAACCTGTGACAAAGTAGTAGTACTGCAAAGTGAGACAAATATTCTCCTTTTTTTCTTAGGGCAGTTTTGGTTAAATAGTCCTTTGTTACCAGGGCACCATGCTATAGGGGATACTTGGAACAGGAGGGAGCCTGACCTTCTCCGGACAGAATTTGGACCCTGCCCATCCTTATGGGCTAGAGCAACTCTTCTACAGGGACCTTCTTGGGGACCTCTCAGAGTTTGCATGGGGTTACTGAACTGGGCAAATGGAATACAGCAGATAAACATGACTGTCTAAAAGGCAGCAAAGCCAAAACTGACCTTTCTGAGGGGACAAGCTATGGACTTTATGACAAGTAAAAATTTAAGGATAAATATGAATCTTCAAAATTTCTTCAAGTTCCAACTGGGATACATGGAAGAAAATCTTGCTTTAAGGACTCCAAAGACCATTTTATAGCAATTTTTGGCATGGGGCAGCCAAGCATGTAATCCTCTTAGAAGGCTGCCTCCTCAGAAGGGAGGGAGAAAAATTATTTCACTGGACAATTTTCAAATGTTTATAAACTCATGAGAATTTTGCAATGGTTTTTTAGTATCTCAAATCCTTTATAGATCCTTGTAACTATTACACATATGTATTTGCAAAATATACATACAACATGAACCTCAGTTTTATCTGAAAAATGGGTATAATAAGCCATAATTCATTTGTTGTAAGGGTCAGATGAGTTAATATATATAAAGAATTTATGTACAAAGTCCATTACATATAAAGGTGCTCAATAAATTACAGTTATTATTATTTTCATTATAATCTATATCAAATGAATCACTTCATTGGTACTGCTAAATGAGTTAATGCTGGTCAAGTGCTTTAAGTAGGATCTGGCCCAAAGCAAGTACTATGTAAGTGTTCGTTAGAAGGCTGGGTTACCAGGACATGCCAGGGAATATATGTTTTTTACTTACAGACAGAGCGCCCTCAACAGGAGATCCTAAGGGAGGAGACACTCTTTCCAAGCTCAGTGCTCCAGGACACACAGCTGCCCCCTGCGTGTTCCCTGCTCTCCCTCCCATGCTGTAGCTTGGCTTGTTCCCACAGAGGGTTTTCTTCAGAGATCACTGTACTCTCTCATCTGCCAACTGAGGCTGTTTATCATGTTCCCACATTAGGGATGAGAAGTCTACTCTGGATATGGGAGCAAGGGCACAGGGGGCACAAGGCACTGTCTCTCCACCCCTCCTGAGAGGCCTTCCAAGTTTGTTTCTCTTCTAATTTGATCACTGGGAATAATTATTCAGTAATGCCAGTGCAATTCTACTGCATCACATTTTTCCTGAGGCTAGAAATTTAGATACAAACACTATGTACAAAAGCAACTAATTTGTAGATATAAGCCAATTCTGAGAAAATTATTCTGTCTTGTATATCATTTAGGCGAGTCTGTATGAGAAAGGTTCCTAGAAGAAATAAGTCTATTTTCACCTACAACCTCTTAGTACATCTTACTACATCCCTGTTTCATCATACAATATAGAAAATGACTTGGCTCAAAGGCAAAGGCCAACTGAAACAGTGTGCCAGAAAATTTAAGGGCAAGAAGCATTCCCTGAATCTGCCCTAAAGAAAACTCCTAGGAATATGAACCTAGAGCTTTCAGAGTGGAGAGGGGAGCCAGATTTGAGAAGGAAAGAGGGAAACATGCTGGCAACCATGCAGGAGGGGAGGTTGAGATGAAGGTGGTGGGATGGTGAGATGGGGGGGTGGTGTGGAGGAGCCCCAGGTTAGAAAAGAAAGCAAGAAAACCTGGATGTTAGTTACTAACAGTGATCTCGGCTGTGCACTGCGGGCACCGCTGCCCTCTTACCGCCTCCTGAGCGTGCGATTTGCTCATGATGGTAAGCAGAGTCTGCAAGAGCACATCTAGGAGGCTCTCCACCATCATCTCTACTTCCTCCATGACATCTGCCTCCTGGAGCGAGCAGTAAGAAAGCACACCATTAGCACCAGGTCAGGCTGATTTGCAGCTGGCAGCACTTACTAAGTCAGCCACGTCAGAATGGTCTTCTGACTGGATTCTCAACATTGAGCTCACAGTCTCACCAACATTCAGTGTCAAGGAACCCAGGACGACAGCTCTGACAGGAGGTGAGGCTCACCTGCCACTGGTGCCCAGGCATGGTGGTTGCAGCCTTACCCTAATGCAGCACCACTCACAATTCTGAATCTCAGGCAGATAGGTTAATTTTGATATACAATGCAGAAGCAAAGGTCCTGAGTTAAATGTTTTCTTTGGTTTCCCTGGAATAGTCAGGAGAAAGCACAGCTCTGCCAGCTAACACTTTGCGCAATAATAAAGTTTGAAAAATGGTGAAGTATTCATACCACAGGGTGTGGCAGCAGCACCTTCACTAGTACTAAGGCACACAGAAGTAGCTCATCCCTCTCAGTGTTTTCTCCTTGGGTGCCCTCAATCTTTGCCAACCCTGCCTGCTGCCAAGATATGCCTGGGTCCCACTTGTAGCTCCTTAGCTCTCTTGCTTGTGTTCCCTGGTCCACCTGAAGGACTCTAGTCTCAGTGCATCTTTCTCTGGCTGCCTCACAAAAACCATATAACATGTCTCCTCACTAAAGGCTGCTTCTCAGCCAGTAGGCTCTGTATTTCAGATGAGTCTGTGTTATCCTTTTATAGACCTCTCACATTCATCTCACATTCTGTAGAATGACTTTAATTATCTCACAAAGAGATTCCCAATGCCCCATCACCAAGATTTTGTACTATTACTGGTCATAATGTCCATCCTCCATCCAGCCATCAATCTATCATTCGTTAAGCACCTTCCATGTGCCAGTCACTATTTCAGGACCTGAATATATATAGGTGAACATGAGAGATAATAACTCTGCTCTCATTGAGCTTAGGTTTCATCTTCCCTCTACCTATCCATACAATATAATCATACTCTGCCCCATACCACATGAAGAATTTGAGTAGCCCTTGGGGCCAAAGTCATCTTTTTCATCTTTTGAACTGTTTGTAACATTCTTACTTGTGACATATCTTTGAGTAGTTGTTAGCAACTAATAACCAACTTTCTCTAGCCCCACGAAAACAACCAAACCATCTCCTCCACGTTTTTACTGGTTCCCATTCCTATTCCATTCCTCCTTTTCATTTTTTTTTTCTTCAATTTTTCTCCTTCCTTTAGTAATAAGCTACCCACAACCCCTCCTCCTCCTCAGATATGATCTTGGGCTACTAGTAGACCTTATGTGCTTGGTGTGCCTTCTGTGAAGCATGGTGGGAAAAAGAGCTGCTAAGTCTTTCCTGAAGCCAAGAGCAAATGATAAGGCCACTACCACCATCATAGTCACTCTCTGCCAAGCTGGGCCTCTGTTACCAGATGGTACTTCAAGACTGAACACCAGAGCACCCTATTAGGTCCCTGTCCCTTGCTCAAAACAAATATACTCTTTCTTTTTTTTTTTTTTTTTTTGAGACAGAGTCTCACTGTGTTGCCCGGGCTAGAGTGCCATGGCGTCATCTTAGCTCACAGCAACCTCAAACTCCTGGGCTCAAGCGATCCTCCTGTCTCAGCCTCCCAAGTAGCTGGGACTATAGGCATGCGCCACCATGCCCGGCTATTTTTTTCTATATATTTTTAGTTGTCCAATTAATTTCTTTCTATTTTTAGTAGAGACGGGGTCTCACTCTTGCTCAGGCTAGTTTCGAACTCCTGAGCTCAAACAATCCGCCCACCTTGGCCTCCCAGAGAGCTAGGAATACAGGCGTGAGCCACCACGCCCGGCCTACTCTTTCTTTTAGGTACCGCTCCTGTTCCATGTAGCTATGTTCTTACCATCTAAAACATTGGCCTTCATTTGAAATGCACTTGAAATTTTATTCTTTAGAAATTTTAATAAAATGGTGTAATAATAAATCTATTTTTGTTCTTCATTTCTTTATACTTTCTTGTAGTTTCTGAATTTTCTATAAGAAATATATATTTCTTCTATTATCAAAAATATATGAAATAAATATCATTAAAATAAATTCCTACCCTTACCCATGCCTCATACATGTCTCTCCTTCACTCCTTCCTACCTCAATCCCTCCCCTCCTACCACAGATCTCTTTTAAAAAGAAAAAACAAGAGGAAAGAACATAGGCAAAAGCATTATCAGTTGAAATCTGACCCCTAAAGTACAATTCTACCATTCCATGGTAGAGCTTAGAGCTCAGAGCTCTTGTGGGCAACATTTACCTCTTGTATATCCTGACCTCATCTGGCATCGTGTAGGAATGCCACATGGGTAGAATCAAGCTGTCAGGAAGCTGACAGCAAAGTAAGCTGATTGAGTAAGCTGCTTCTCAGTCTGAGTCTGCCTCTGTGTGTTCATGCCTAAGTATCCTCAGAAAACTTCCAGGAATCTAGAATTAAAACTTTTTTTTTTTTTTAAAAACAAAAAAAACTTTTTGATAGAAAGAAAGCATGGCACAGGATTGGGCTTTCTGGTACTACAGGTAACTATATTTCTGGGTAGATTTATGGTAGAACAACTTTTAAAATAGGAAGAATATGTTGTAGTAAGAAGCCTGCAAGGCACACACAGGCCTTCATTCACTTGGGCACCTTCCTGTCACTGATGAAAGCATCTCTGACTGAGAAGTATACAAAGAGATCTTTGTTGGTCTGCCTCTGGCTAAAGTATCAATAACACAAAACTAGCTAGGGCAGAGCTGAGTGGGGTAGAATGGGTGTGGGGCCACTACCAGAGAGCTGGTCTTGACGATGGAGAAGATACTGCTGAGAATCCCTGAGCAAATTAGCAGCTCTTTCTGCTGCCTCAGGTGAAGGTGAATGTGATGGAGAACCACAGGAAGCAGGATGCGGCGGGATTCTGGGAGAGAAAACACAAGGTAAAGAAGCCAGTCAGAGAAGAACCAGCTATTGCTAGAAGCCAGTGGCACTGTGGGACTTAGCTAGTTTCAAAGCAGGTGGGGTTGTGACTGCAGTTAAGGTAGAGGGCCCATATAAGGGCCCAAAAGCCCACTGCCTAGAGATTATAAACTATCCCAAGACATTGTTCTTCCATCTTTCTTTCCTTTGTTCTTATTTCAAGCCCCAGCATCCATGACATTTTGTGCAGCATGAATGTTAGAAATCTGCTTCCAAATATAATCTCTTTAATGATTAGACTCCAAATTAAAAGCACAGTTTACAGTGAAAACTCCATTTATATGGCATACTTACTATGAACTTACATTGACTGAATTTGTAGATTTGATACGGATTACAGATTGTCCCTCTTTATGCCCTGCCTAGGTGGCCTAGCATGCCCACTCCTGCTGTGAGCATTTACCTTACCACGGCTACCAGGCCTGCTCCCTTTCCCTAACAGCCTTATTAGACTGCTGCTCAGTGTGTCTGCAGCAATGAATAGAAGCACAACCTTTGTCTTGTCATAAGACTTTGAGAATTAGTCAATGCTTATCATCAATCCTACTGCACACTTCAAATGTTTTTCTTTGTTACTAGAATAGCATTTTTATCAGGAGGTAACTGTATTTAGAACTCTGAATTCAGGAAGGCTGAATCCTAATTTGAGTTCCCTTATTAACTCATTCTGAGACTTTAGGCAGGCTAACTCCCATGGGCTTGATTTTCCTCATCTGTAAATGGGATGCTAATGACCTCGTCTACATTTATTTCACAGGACGGTTAGATGTCAAAGTGAAATATAAGTGTAAATATGTTTCTGGCGTCCTGTACTCCTATGTGGTCAGTGATTATCTGACCCTGCAGGTCTCATCCTATCTGGCCAGCATAATTTAGTCAGATTATCAGTAGCACAAACAAGCCACAGCATTTTGGATTTACTGTTCATATTTGACCATAGTTAAGTGCTCCACATGAAATTCAGAAAGAAAATCTTTTTCAACCAAAGACAAGTTACATGATATATATGAGATTTTGGCATTGTCTTGTCAAATACTTAGAATACATTCAAATAGAATGGAATAATAGCTAATACATATTTAAAAGGCTTCTTGGATAAAAGAAAAGTTGACATTGCATTTTGAAGACCAAAATATCAACATAATAGGTTTTATAACAACCAATATCTGCTTGCAGACAAAACAGTAGCATGTTACTAGAACTTTCTGAAGAAGAGACCAAACTGGTGTGCTCTGAGAATGTGTTGGTTAAATGATACCACTGGTAAAAAAAAGTCTTGTTTCAGTGAAGATGCTATGACTCAGGCATTCAATGAAACTGAGATGCAAATGAAATTTTGGTGGCGGACTGTCATCTTAAAATCCAATTACATGGTCTTATGCCACATAAGGTTTAAGAAAAATTTTTCTAAAGTGATTGTGTGAATCAGGAAGCACATGCAAAAATATTAGAAATAAAATATATTAGTGAGGTCAGTCTGTTGTTCCCCTTTCCATATATTCCAAAAGCACCTTCTTTAAGCAGTGCATAAAACTTGAGTGTGTGCAATGACCTTAGTGACAGTATCCTCAAACCATTGATAAAATCTTCAATCCAGGAGCTGGAGAAGGGAGAAACGTTTACCATAAACAGTTCCTGGTGGAGAAAAGATGACTTTCTTGGTGGCAGCTTTACCATTAGCAATACCACATACACCAGCAGAGCTAAGTCAATGGGAACATCTATTTAGTATTACAAATATGTGTAGCACTGGGCTGAGAAATTATTGTTTTTATACTTTAAAAGTCAAATCTAAAAAAATTAACCACTGAAAATTCTAATTATAAAAATTATAATAATAATTATTCTGATAGTGTTTCAAATTTATTTCTGTGCCCCAGAAGTTTATTCTAGGACAGTGATATTTTACATAAAAGATCAGGCTCAAACTGATCTTAACATTTGGCCATTGAATATTTGGTGCCCCTGCAAGACAGAACTTGATCACATATGATACGGTTTCAGGAATGAATCCTGATGTTCTTTCTGAAAGGCAGCCTCAGCTGTTGATGCATTAGTTAGGTCATCCTCACCCCTTGGGAAGTGTGGAAGGCTCCCTGTCCATTTCTCTGTCTAATCCTTAGTGGCTCCTACAAAGAGAGGAAAAGGAATCTATTTGACTGGTGTGGCAAGAAAACAAGAAAGCACAGGGTCCTCAGGACCCCCTTTCGGGGCCTCTTTTATTTCCTTGTTTTATCCTTATACTTTTGGGCTGGACCCTTCTTTTTTGCTCCCCCTCTTTTCCCTCTGTCTTCTATCCTGCTGGTGGTGTGGCAGACTCCATTTTTGGTAGCTAGCTGGATTTGCGGGCCTGGAGGTTGCTCTGCAGGCCACATACTGTATAGATTGAATGTTTGTGTTCCCCTTGCCAAATTCATATGTTGAAACCTAATCCACAATTGTGATGGTATTTGGAGGTAGAGTTTTTGGGAGGTGATTAGGTCATGAGGGCCTAGTGACCTCATGGGATTAGTGCCCTTTTTTAAAGAGAGCTCCCTTGCCCCTTCTGCCATGTGAGGACACAGAGAGAAGACAACTGTCCATGAACCAGGAAGTGGGCCCTCACCAGATAACAAATCTGCTGGTGTCTTGATCTTAAGCCTTCCCACCCTCCAGAACTGTGAAAAATAAATGTTGTTTATAAGCCACCTGGCCTATGGTATCCTGTTACAGCACCCTGAATAAACTATGGCACCACTCTATTGACATGCTCCAGGGTGTGGGTCTCTAGGAATAAATTGTGAATGAGGCAGTAGGCCTAGGTCTTGGCTGCATTCTCTAACATAGTTCCTGAAAAATGCCACAATTTAAGAATGCATTTTCTTGCATGATGGTTGATAAAACAGATCCTTTGATTACCACTTGGCTGTCTCCCCTGGAAGGGATAAAAGATGAGTCTGACTCTCATTCCAACTCCATTTACCTGAGAAAGAAAATAGGCGGCTGTCCACTGTCCTGGCTATGGATTGCAGCTTGACCACATCCATCGACTGCCCGATGTGCACAGTGCTTGGCATGCTCCCCAGTGTCCCTCTCACAAACTCTGCCACCTCTTGTACGGTGAACATTTGTAACAGCTCATCAAAAATGGTGGGGAAAGAATTGAGGAGTGCAGCCTGAAGAAGCAAGTGAAGCTGTCGTTAGCTCCGAGATTGCTTACACAATGATACAAGGTGATGAGAGGTTGAGAAAGCATTGCAGCATCCCTGCCCTAAATGTGCTCCTTCCTGACCCTTGACTCCACCCATCCCTACAGCAGTCCTGGGGCTGGAGCAAGGAGAACCAAAAAGAAAATGAAAACAAGATAATTTACTGGGGCCCAGACCACTTCGAAGCTTTTGTAACTTGCCAAGGCATTTGCCAACAAGAGAATGGGGTATAAAGAGAAATTTGGGCTGGGCACAGTGGCTCATGCCTGTAAGCCCAGCACTTTGGGAGGCCAAAGTGGGAGGATCACTTGAGGCCAGGAGTTTGAGACCAATCTGGGCAACATAGCAAGACCTGCCACTGCAAAAATATTAAAAAAAAAAAAAATAGCCAGGTGTGGTGGTACATGTCTATAGTCCCATCTACTCAAGAGGCTGAGCCAGGAGTAGGAGGAGTGCCACTGCCTGGGTGACAAAGTGAGACCCTGTTTCAAAAAGAAAGGAAAAGAAAAAAGAAAAGAAAAGAAAAGAAATTTGCTCAATGTGGCTTAAGATTCATAGCTGTTTTTGCTCATAAAATAGATTTAAATTTTTTGTTTGTTTCTATGATGAAACTATTGACTTTTCAATTTTGGTTCCAAACTCGAGCCAAGAACCTCTGGAAGAAAGTAAGGCATGGAGAGCTCAGCAGGACCAGCTGAACTCTGCTCATAGCCCTACAGCCAGGAATCCAGCTCTGACAGCTACAGCATTTTCCCAGGATAGACATTTCCTTCACATGTGATGCCTGACAGTCTCCAGTGTAAATCAAAAAGAATGAGCAATGTAATTTAGTCAGTAATCTTCAAGAGTCACTTAAGGATTACTGATGATGTTCAAGTTCAGTGACCCAGATGGCCCAGGCAAGGGGAGTGTGTGTGTGTGTGTGTGTGTGTGTGTGTGTGTGTGTGTGCGTGCGTGCGTGTGTGTGTGTAGGCTTCTCTTCTAGGATCTGAGCTCTGGTAGACCCATGAGGTGACCTTTTTCTTGAGGACAATTTGAAAATGTAACAGTTCCAGAGCCTTTGGGAGGTAAAGTACCATAGGAGAAAGAGAATGGGTTTTGGAATTAGACAGTCATGAGTTCAAATCCAAGCTTTACCATTTACCTCCCACATAACCTTTAGTGAGTTACTGCCTAAACCTAATTTTTTCATCTATAAAATGGGATGATGCTATTACTTATCTCCTGATATTGGTATGAGGAAAAAATTTAGAGGCAAAAAGTTTCCAGTAGAGTGCCTGGACAAAAATAGACCTTAAATGTGTGCTGGTTCTCATTCTCTTCTCTTGTCTAAATGAAAGCAGCATTAAGGAGGCTTTTTTCACTTCTCAGTCCCTTTATACCATTAACGCAAGACTTACAAAGGGAAATGGAGTGCCACTTTGCGACAAAAAGGTGAGACCTCACTCTTCCCAAGTGGAAGGTGGGGGAAGAAAGCCTGTTTTTCTTGATTGCTTCATTAGGCAGTAGACACGGCTGAGAGAGAGTGAAAATTTATGACTTAGGAAATAGGCCTGTACTGTGGTTTATGTTCAGGCCAGACCCAAGTGTAGAACTTAACGTGAATTCTATCTGCAGATTTATAAATCCTGGAATATCAAAGAGATTGTTTTGTAGTAATTATAACGAGACTAAAACATATTTAAGTAGGTTAGAAACAAAAGGCAAAGGGAGGAAAGTAGGTGCTTCATAATCAATAACAAATAGTAACGAATTTGCTCTCTTAAATGAAATTTCCTATACTTACGTATCGTGACAGAAGGATACTTGCACCCTGACATCGTCTAGTGATCATAATCAAAGATATAAAGTCTAACTGAATAAAATATTTGCTGAGAGTTCTGAAACTCATATAAGAGCCTGCCACCAAAGCAGGTCTGATCCTGACACAGAACTTAACTGAGACTAAGTCTAAGCTATTTATCTTGATGTGGTAGGAATATGTTATTAAGTACAAGGCATTGCCAAGTTCCTAGAAGATATATCTGCTTTTTTCCCCAATTTATTTATTCTTTTATTCTTTTTGTTTTTTGTTTGTTTGAATTACAGCTACCTCCAATCTCCTCATCTCTCTTTTTTGGCTGAGGGGAAGAGAGAGTCCTTGGCCCCTGTTGGAAGGAAAAGATGGCCCATGGGAGGGGTAGGGGAAGAAAGATGAGTTGCTGGGGGTACTTAGGAGGGGAGATAATGGAAGTGGTCTTCCTTACAGAGGCACCTAGAAACCTTAAGGTTTTCCCTTATAGAGTCTAGTTCCCAGGTGATCACCTGTCCTACAGGCTGAGGGGCCTACAGGCAATTGGCATCAAGGGGCAACACAGAGGCAAGTGGAAAACAAAAAAGAGTAGACCATTTTAATCTTAAAAGAGACAGAGTTTCAATATATACCTACACTAACAACACACCTGGCAGTGACTCAATGAATGGACATAAGAGAGACTGTCTGATCTTTACTAATAGGTTTTGGTGTCATAATTAGCCTCAAAAAGTCAAAGAATTATAATCCAGTAGGTAAAAATTCGACATTCATTTTTATTAGAAAAACTAAGCCCTTCATGACTGGGGTAATGAATCCTTGACTTGTTCTAGGGTGAGGCCAGGTGGAAAAGGTAACAGATTAGCTGGCCAGGCAGTTTTACTACAAGGAAACAAATTTTTCTTCCCACACTGATATTTCTAGTAGAATCTAATCCCAATTATTAGCCAAAAATTTCTAGTTATTCCTACTGTTTTTCAATTTGTTTCACTCTTAACTTCTGGAATGGACAAGTATTAATCTAGATTTTAATTAATACATTGATTAATTAGGAAATAAAATTTCCTGGACATTCTGAATATCCCCTATGAATATGTTCATGAAAAACAAAATAGTATGGTAGCTAAATAAATTCAGTCTAAAAGGGTTCATAAGAACAAATTCGTGCTTATTCTCCACCATAAAACCATTGAGCTGTGTTGTATTTGGCAGCTGAGGCATTGCCAGCTTAGTTATTTCCTTATAAATCACCCCTTACCCAACACACAGGATCCTGGAAGGGCTTCTTCAACTCTGGAAACCAGAGGACAAAGAAACCACTTGATAAGAAAGACAAGAAATCCAGCAGCCAAGCTTCTCTACAGCTCACAGACCTGAGTGAAAAGAAGTGTTTCTGAGTTTCTGCTGTCCAGACTGAGCACAAACCGGATGGATTGGAAAAGTTCTTGGATGCTGGATCGGAATTGCTCCTCTTCCATCCCACATGTGGCTCGTGAGTACAGGATCCGCGACTGCACAATGAACTTGAAAAGGTACTCCAAAGCCTGGAAAGTGTGGAAGAAAAAGTGATGGAGAGGTATTGAAGATGCCCAGGAACTCAGATATCAGGGAACAAAGGGCAAATTAACAGCAAATTCAACAAGAAAGTCAAGTGATGGGCAATTCTAACTATGGAGACAGGCATTTTATTTTTAAAAACTTTTTCTCAAATATCTAAATTGCCATTAAGCAGCAGCTGTTTTCTTATTGAGAGAATCATTAAATGATTTCACAACTGCTTTCTGAGGTTCTCTAATTAAGGAACCATGGACTCTAATGGAAACAGGTGAATTCAAGAACATTTAGGATCAAAAGAAAATTAATCTTCTTTATTTTTTTTCATGTATGAAAATAAAAGCCTCAAAAGGCAAGGATGTAAGACCCACTCCTGAGTTTACTGCAAGGAAGAGTCCTTTAAGGCTGTGGTCCCAACCCCAAGCTGTGGACTGGTACTGGTCCGTGGCCTGTCAGGAACTGGGCTGCACAGCAGGAGGTGAGCGGAGGGTAAGCAAGTGAAGCTTCATCTGTATTTACAGGCGCTCCCCATCACCTGCATCACCGCATAAGCTCTGCCTCCTGTCACTTAAGTGGTGGCATTAGATTCTCAGGGTTGCATGCTTCTTACGAGAATCTAATGCCTGATGATCTGAGGTGGAGCTGAGGTGGTGATGCTAGTGCTGGGAAGTAGCTGCAAATACAGATTATCATTAGCAGAGATGTTTGACTGCACAATAAATGTAATGCACTTGAATCATCCCAAAACCACCCCTACCCACCACCCTGGTTTGTGGAAAAATTTTCTCCCATGAAACCAGTCCCTGGTGCCAAAAAGGTTGGGGATCACTGCTTTAAGGGGTCCCCTGCATCTTTGAGATATGGCTGGGGTTTGACACAGTGCCTCTCTTCGCAGTGGGGGTCACAGAAGTCTGGAAAAAAACTTGTCACAGGTTGCACAGCAGCTGGCAGGTCTGAAACATCCACTCTCCACCCTTTTCCAACCAAGACATCTGCCATAAACAGTTTATAAACAATACAGAAGATGAAGCTTTCATAAAATGGTTTGGGAGCAGAATCTGATTCTGAGGAGTGCTGCAGCATGGCCCATGTTTACAAACATAGTAATTCTCTTTTAAGAGAACAGATTCAAGACCCAAGACTATGTTTTCTAATCAAAGAAATGCCACATATTTTCTAGACACTGAAAAGGCAGACACAACAGAAAGAAACTTATCCAAGGATAAAAGAAACAGTACTCAATTACCTGAAATACATAAAAGGAAACAATTCCCAAGCTACCTTTCATGATCTATTCATCTATTCATCTATCAGAAAGTTTAGCATAGCAGAGCTTAATCTTTTGTGGCCTACACAAAATTCACTTGGAACTGGGGAATGTTAGTTTAGAAAAATGTGTCTTTTAGGGTTTGCACCAGGAGATTCTGTAGAAGAAATTAATGTGTGTCTTCATCTCCATAAAAGCTACAGCCTCTATTCTAGTAGCTTTCTAATGCCTGGTCTATAAAAAACCCAAACAGTCTGTTAATTTCTAAATCCAGATACTTGCAGGCCAGACTCTGCCACTGCTCCAGTATGTCTATACTGTGGAGAATCTTCAGGCCCATGAAGCAGAAAATACACTGTTCTGAGCCAGCTTCATTTATTAGGTTATGCCAGTTTGAAGTCACTGAAGTAGTAAGTATTTTATATCTCCCCCCCAAAAAAAGAAAAGAAAATTTGTGTTTCCCAAACCAAATGCTAGGTAGCAAGTCTGACCTTCCCCCTTTAGGTATTTTGGTTTAGTATGACTAACTTGGCTTGCTGGGCTCAGCTGAGGACAAAGGAGGAACAGGGTCCATGTCCACTGACACCTTGGAGTCCTTATAGGTAAAGACAGATTAGATTTCCTTGGGACAGACTACAGAATCAGGATGACTTCCTCAGTTAAATCATACAGACAAGTAAAAGTATGCTAAGACCTGAAAAGAGTCACCAAAAATGTGGCATGCATAAGAATAGAATGTGAGCCTGTTGACCACTTTACTGTCATATGTCCAAGCCAAGAAGGATGTAGGAAGGATCAGCATTTACGTGGAATACTGGAAATAAAGACAGGAAAATAAGTTATTTTTTTTTTTTTTGAGACAGAGTCTCACTGTGTTGCCCAGGCTAGAGTGCCGTGGCATCATCCTAGCCCACAGCAACCTCAAACTCCTGGGCTCAAGCGATCCTCCTGCCTCAGCCTCCCGAGTAGCTGGGACTACAGGCATGCGCCACCATGCC